TTAACAGTGGAAGGAATTCCTTTAAGTACAAGTGAATAATTGACAAAAACAAACAGCTTTCAAAATGTGTTCCACATTATCCTTTCCAATTCACAACTCATCACAACAAGATAAACAGCCCAATCACAAAATGGGCACAGGATATGAACAGAAACTTCACCAAAAAAGACATTCAGATGGCAAACATACACATGAAGAAATGTTCAAAATCCCTAACTCTAAGAAAGATGCAAATCAAAACAACTGTAAGATATCATCTCATCTCAGCAGCAATGGCAAAATTCAACAGAGCAGCAAACAACAAATGCTGGCAAGGCTGTGAAGAAACTAGAACCCTTATTCACTGTTGGTGGGAGTATAAAATGGTGAAACCACTTATAGAAGGCAGTATGGTGCTTTCTCAAAAAAGTTGGAAATAGAAATACCATTTGACCTAGCAATTCCACTACTGTTGACATACCCTAAAGAAATCAGAACTGCCATCCAAACAGATATATATATGCACACCCATGTTTACTGCTGCATTGATCACAAAAGCAAAGAGTTGGAAACAACCCAAGTGCCCATCAACAAATGAATGGATAGAGAAGCTGTGGTATATTCACACAATGGAATACTATGCAGCACTGAAAAACAAGGAACTCACGAAATATTATACAAAATGTCCTGAAGGACATTTTGCTGAGTTAAATATCTCAGTCACAAAAGGACAAATACTGCATAATGCCACTGTTGTAAAACAGGACTGACATGGGGGTTGGAGGTAAACTAAGAAAAGAGGGGCTAAATAATGTACATTGAAACAGATGAGTAATATAACCGCTTAAAAGGAATATATGATTATTTTGCATGACAACAGTCCAGAATAAGCTGCATAGTAAAGTGGATTGTGGGTGGGAGGAGGGATTGTACAATAATGAAAGAATATTTTTTTTTCCAAAGTAAAAAGTGAACTGGGGAGTGGGGTGGGCAGGGAGGAAAATGTGCAACAATGATTGAATAGAAATCCAAGTTCTGTATAAACTTTGATTAAAATCTCAATTAAAAAAATAAAATTCACAACTATTCATAATAAACTCAAAACACAGTAAAAATCAGGTTATCAAAAATCTTTTTTAAAAATTTTATTTTATTTCATTATTTTTTGTGTGTACTGTCAAATCAGATGTGACTGATACAGGAGGAGATTGTTCCTCCTTCTCCAGCAGAGCATCTGGTGGATTTGAACTGTGTACCTCTGAGATTGCAGTGCAGCTTCTTGCAAAAATCTTTTTGAAAATACTTTAGAATACTAAAAGGTTAGACTGAGTGACTGACTATGCACTGTATCTAGTAACATCATCCACACAAGAAAAGGCTCTCATTGTCTAAAACATTAACATTTTGTAAAACCTATAGCTCATTCATAAATCTGCTAGCTTCTAAGTTGTGGAAAATTTGTGTAAACTGTGTATAACACACCATGCAAGCTGCTTTTAAAGTCCTCTAGCTTTGTAACTCCAAAGACAGGAAAGCAATTCCTAAGAAACAAGAAACAGCTTGCCTTTCCAATGCTTACTCAAGCAGATACTGAAACCTAAGGTCAGTTTAGATGCCACATTTATAGATACACTGTTTATTAAAATTAACAGAACATACAGGAGAAATACAAAAAGCACATACCATAAAAAGAAAAGATTGAAAAATTCAGTTCATTACAATTATAACTTTTCTTAGCAAAAGACGACAAAAACAGAAACAAGCCAAAATAAAAAATAAGCCAAGAAATTGAATACATACTTCAGAGCAAATAAATACACACAAAAAATGTTCAATTTGGGAAATGCCACAGATACCATTATAAACATACCAGATTAGGAGGGAAAAAAATTAAATAGTCTGACAGTATTAAGGAGTGGGAAGGAAGTAGAGCAATCAAAACTCAAAACATACACTGCTGACTCTTCGCTGAGTAACTACAGAATTCACAATTACCAACAGCCAATCAGTGACTCAAACACTGAAGTGTCTAGTAAATATTAAGCAACTGCCATTATGTGCCTTCAAGTCAGAATCGACTCAGAGCTGCCCCTTTAGTGGGCTTTCTGAAGCTGTGAATCGCAAGGGAGGAAGGAGACTGCTCATCTTTCTCCCCAGAACAGCTGGTGGATTTGAACCACCTGCTTTTAGGAGGTGGCAGCGCAATTCCTTACTCACAAGCCACACAGCTCCTATTAAGCAACTAATAATCCAGGCTGCTGAGAATGTATGTAGACTACCGAAATACAAATTTTGGTCCTTAATGAACTGGGTTCAATCTAGCACCATAATGTAAAAGAAATAAAAGTGTGAGTCCTTACACAGTTGAACAGAGGAGTGTATGTGTTCCCCAAATCATAAGGTATTCATTTCCTCCCAGAATACAGATGACATCATAAGTGACTAAACTTTAATGATCCATTTGTCATTCCAGTTACATTAATATTCCACTAAGAACAAACAATTTAAAATGGCATTACTTTAACTCTAATCCTTTAAAACTATCCTTTTATAAAACTATGAAGTTGGACAGCCCTTAGTTAAAATCTCAACTCTACCAAATACTATATAGTTCTTTAACCTCTTTGACCCCTAATACCAAAAAGTACACAGGCTACAACCAACCTACTTGACTATTTATACTGTTAAAATTGAGATTATGTATTTGGCAATGCCAAATTTATTAGAATATGCCGAGGGTCAGTGCCTTTCCCTTTGTAAATCATGCTGCCCCCTCACCGGAAAAGTATACCCCTGAACTGTAACTCTCCGTTCACAGGAAACTACTACTCTTACATTCAAACTGTTTTCTATTATCATAGGAAACAGCATGCTATAGGTTAGATGATCTTTCTTTTATATCAAAAGGTTCTATAAGCAACTAAAAAAATGCACAAACTCAAACTCCCTGTTATTAAGTCACTTCTGATTCAATGTAGCCTTCCATTGGGTTGCAAAGACTGTAAACTGTAACAGGAACAGGTGTCTTTCTCCACTGAAGCTACTGGTGGATTCTAATCCCAGGAGATGCACAGTCCTACAAAACTCACTACAACACAGATTTTCACAAGCAAGGATTCTCATACTGTGTGGAAAACTAAATACAGACGGTGGTTGAGCTTCTTTTCAATTGAAGGGTTTTTAAAAAAAATTCTAACAGTTTATTTGAGAAAGATGGTCTGAAGAGAACTATCTGATTAATGATTAGTTGATGGTGATGTCTCATTTTTGAGAAGAAAGGGTAACCTATAGGGAAAAAGTCTAAAATTAAAACTATTTACATTTGAAAAAAACTCAATACATTCAACCTATAATTAAAGAAATGTATAACACTGACATCTACAGCCTGAGCAAATAATAATATTGAAAATACTGATGAATTTTAATCACTGGATTAAACTACTAAAATCTTCATTTTAAATGCCTTACTAGCAAGAGAAGGATGAAAAAAAAAACACAAAATAAGGTGACATTTGTCCCATAAAAGAAAGCTGAATAAAAAAAAAAAAAAAGCTGAATAAAAAAACCACTGATGAGAAATAGAAGACTATATTTTTTTAATGCTGTTACTGTCTTCTTCAATATTAAAATGAAAAATAAGTCCTTCCTGATTTTATCAAGATGAGGTAATGAGTCCTAAATAAAGAAAAAGAAACCAAGTTTCTTATAATTGTCTACTTTCATCATCATCTTTTGCTTTCATTTGTAAAAAGAACTTTTTCCCCTCAGCGAGTCTCAGCAGGTTAATAAATGATTTGTCAACCTGTTATGTCATGATCAAGATGCTCCCTAAACTCTGGGAAAACATTCATTTTTTTCACTGCCACAAGTACAACACACATTATTAGTGTAATAACACAGCAGGCATTCACTAAATCTTGAAAAAGTAACAAAATGAATGAAGGAATAGTGCCAACTAAAATTAAAATTTCACCTATAAAATTCTACTTAAAGAAAAGCTAAGCAGATCATGTTAATACTTTTATTAGACTCTGGACATTTCACATTCATTGATGTAAGATAATGCAGAAATTTCCAGTTTAACTAGGTTGGGAAGTGAATCAGAAAGAGCTTTTCCCCACCACCAAATATGAAAGAATTTCAAAATAATTCCATCATACCATCTAAATTTCTAAATATTAATAAAGAACAGAGACAAAACACTGACAAGTGAATTAAGAACAAAACATATTTAACAGTCAATTACCAGTTTGGTTTAGCTAAACACCGCGAGATACTGGAAAAATTCCTGAGATTTTTACCTTTTTAACAAAAAATATTTTTCCCCCAACCATACATATATCCAGAGGCTAGTCCAGAGACAATCAGTTGTAGCCACACCACAAGGGGCAAAGATCACCGAGATAGCGTGTCAAGTGGATGAAATGCAGTTTGCCCTTCCAGACATGTAAGGATGTTTTTGAGGCCCTGGTGGACTATGTAAGTGAATCTCCACCCAAAAAACAAAAAAGCTACATAAACAGAGAAGACGACAGAACGTTAAAAAAGAAACAAACCCAAACTCGCTCACCCACTCAGATTTGTCTCTTAACTCTTTAACCTAATCGCCACAGAGAGAACTAATCAATTTCTCACGCTCCCAGACTAACCTCAACTCCTCATCCCTCACTGTCTTTTACTAAAATCTGGGTCTCTCTCCCCGATCTCTTTTACCTAGTTCCCACCAAGCTCTCACTCTAGCCAGACTTTGTCGACTGCACCGATTTTCCAGTCGGGTATTAGTCTCTTTAATCCGAACTCCCTTTTCCGCATCTCATCTGCCCTCCGCCCCTTCAACTCTGATCTTCTCACTCTGACCCTTCTCCCACAATCCACCCCAGGTCACTGATGTCCAGTGCTGATCATCAAGTCGGGTTCTTCCTCCAGTTCTCTCCCAATACCAGATCGGTCTCCCGATACCGGGCCCCCTCCCCCAACTCCACCCCTTTCCACCCCCTTCCCCAAAGGGAGGCCCCCCTCACCTGAACGCCGCTACCGCCGCCGTCCCAGAAACCAAAAGGTGCTGGCGCCGGCCGGCCGCCCAGGCTCAGTTCCCGCAAAGCTCCGGACAGCCCCTAGGGACAGCGAACGCCACCACCTCCAACTCTGGCCGCCCCGGGCCAAGCCAACACCGCAGACAGCCCAAGGACCGCAGCCGCCATGTTTAAGTCCTACTTCCCTCCTCCTGCCTCTTACGGTTCCGCCCCTTTGGACGTCTGACGTCGGGTCGCCGCGCTCCACCCGCCCGGGCCAATGGGAGGAGTCGGCAGTGACGTAACTGACCTCTCTAGGGTTGAACTCCCTCAGCCGTGTGGAGCAAGGGTCCCCAAAAAGAGAAGAGCGTAGGAATTAGAGAGATGGCCAAAGCTGGAAGGCAAAAGAGCCTTGAGTTGCAATGGGATATACAAAGATTTAGTAACGAGTCCTGTTTGGGATGCAGGATGCCTCGCTTCGTGACATGGTTCAAATCTTATCCTGTCTGGTAGGTCTCACTTTCCCCATTTACAAATGAATGAGTTGAAAAATTACTCTAATTCCAGTCTTGACATTCAATGAGTTTAAATAATCTAAGCTTGACTTTTCATTGCCTTATGTATTTATTGATGTACTTGCATATGAGTAGTTGATAAGACTGTTCAACAACCAGCACCTAGCCTAGATTTCACAGCTGATAATAAGCTTCTCCAATGATTCTTTCCACAGATGTAGTCAGTCTGATTTCAGTGCAGACCATCAAAGAGGCCCATGTAAATAGTCACTGTTCCTTATAAAAGGGATTTGCAATGAATCATTGACTATACAAAATTATATCATTTTTATCCAGCCTCGTTTCTGTCACCAAGCCCATATTTTCTGACTATTGATCCTTCTCCATTCTCAACTTTTGCTAACAGGAAAACCTGTTAGGGATCTCTCCAGAGTGTTGCAGAGCAAGGATGTCAGTCTAGAGACTAAAGTGCTCCTGATCCAGGCCATGGTCTTCACAATTGCTTGCTGAGAGCTGGAGAATGACCAAGGATGACAAAAGAATTGATGCTTTAGAGTTGTGGTTCTGGAGAAGAGTATTGACTATACCAAGGACTGCCAAGAGAATTAAACAGGTCTGTCCTGGAGTGGGTGAAACTAAGCTGCACCTTGGAGGCAAGGGTTTTGAGACTCAACCCACATACTTTGGGCAAGTAGCCAGAAGGGACCAGTCTTTGGACAAGGGTATCATGCTTGGAAAGGTGGAGGGACAGCACAGGAGAGGAAGACTTCAAATGAGATGGACTGACACAATAGCTGGAGTAATGAGGGTAAGTGTGTCTAAGACAGTGAGATTGGCTAAGGATAGAGCAGGGTTTAGAGCTATTGTGCATAGGATCACTATGAGTTGTAATAGACTCGGCGGCACATAACAACATTGAAGTAGATTAATAGAAAATCATTACAAAGAGATGAATTTCTTTCCAAATGTTCTTAATAGATGAGATAAATAGATACATGAAGTTAGCTGAAAAATAATTTTCGGTAAGTGTATTGTAAATGTATTGCTCTGGGAAAAGTTTGCTTCTGGCTAAAGGATTAAGAATGATTTCTTTCTCCACACTTTCTAGTTCAGTAAAGAATTTATATACTTTATGTCTATTTCTCAAGACCCATTTTCTCTCGAGTTCCAAGAACAGAGAAGGTGGTCTTTATGTTTTGAAGTGTGTGGTATTTTCAACTGGAAAGCAGAAAAGAAGGATCATTCCAGAAAGGGGGATTATAGGCCAGAGAATAGTGAGTCATTAATTCTGAATTGTTTATCTACTATTTGAGCAGATAATGGGACAGCCACAGAAGGTTTGTTAAGAGAGCACTAGCTGAGTAAAGCTCTTCATCAGAGCAATTAAAATGGTAACAGTGCATAAAATGGATGACAGACTACATAGCAGACTTCTAAAAGAAGACAAATACCAGAAAACAGAAGCAGTAGAGTTTGGAGACTAGGGGGAAAGTGAAGTAAGATTTAGGAGACACACTAAATTAGATCTAGATAGATGCTATACCAGAGGAAAAGAAGAAAGAGTCAAGTTTTGGGGTCTCATTAACAGAGACAAGCAAACTCTAAGGTATACTGAAATGCTAATAGAATTGATTCAGTTGGTCTGAGAGTTAATGTAATGGCAGAATTTTCTTAAGAGATGTTGGGAGATAATGTAAGCTTGAAAAGCAAGAAAGAGGTAAAGAGTACACATTTACAAGATTATTGGTGTTTTTTAAACAAATAAACGTTTCATTCATCCACTCAAGTACTTACTGAGTATGTGCAATATGCCAGGCAATGTTCTAAACATCTACGATACAACAGTATATAAAACAAATGCTCTCTCATTTTTATGGAAGCTAATAAACAATTTAAATATATTCTTTCTTTTTTTCTCTTTCTCCAAATTTCTATTTGCATTTTGAGATAAAAAAGGAAGATTTTATTTATTTCAATTTTTTTTTCAAACTATTAGTGCTGTTATATCCCTTCAAGTTAGAACTGAGTCATAGTTGACCCTCCAGGCTGTAAATCATATTGGAGGAGATTGGTGGTGGATTTGAACTGTTTTTGTGTTGTCATCACAGATCGCAAACACTAGGCCACCAGAATTCTGATGGCTTAGTGGTAAGAAGTTGTGCTGCCAACCTGAAGGCATGCAGTTTTAATCCTCCAGGCACTCTGCAGGAAGAAGATGGGCAATCTCCTCCCATGCATCTTACTGCTATGAGTTAATTCTGCTTTCATGGTGTATAACAATAGTAAACAATGGTGGTAAATAATAATGAGATGAGAATAAAGCAAAAAGAAAAAAAACTCAGAAAATAGCAACACTTGAAATTTGGAAAGGGGAGTTCATGGAAGGCATCATTGATAGATGACACAAAAGCAAAGATCTAAAGGAAGTGAGGGAATGAGTTATTTATATATCAAGAAGAAACACCTGTCCTAAGACAAAGTACAAAAGCCCTAGGACAGAAGTTCACCTCCTGTGCTCCAGGTACAATGAGCAGTCCAATGTGGCTAGAATTGAAGGGGCAAAGGGACAAATAATAGAAGATCAAGTCAGAGAGCTAAGAGATAAATCACATTTTGTTCTACTCATAGAGACTGTATACGACATAATGAAATAATGCTCAATCTTATATCATCTTTTCAATCTTTGTTATATTCCAAGTCCATTTTTGCAGCCACAGTATCAATGTCAATCCATCTTATAGGAAAGAGAGTTGACCTAAAGCACTTGCTGCAGAAGATAAAAGTCCTCAGTCTTCAATATGGAGTCCATCTGTTTTGGTTTTGGTTTTATGTTTTGTTTGTTTTGGTTTGGTTTTTTATATTTTAATGAACATTTATAAAGAACTTGGATTTCCATTCATTCATTGTTGTACGTTTTCTACCCTGCCCCCCTCCAGTTCACTTTTTTCTTTGGAAAAAAAGTTCTTTCATTGTTATACAGTTCCCTGCCCCCCAGACCACTTTACTATGAAACTCTTATTCTGGACTCTTGTCAAAGCCATGGTCTTTTCAATCACTTGTTATGCATCTGAAAATGAACAATGGCTAAGGGGGTCAGAAGAATTGATGCCTTTCAGTTGTGGTTTTGGAGAAGAGTGCAGAAAATCCCATGGACTGCCAACAGAACAAATAGATATGTCTTGGAGAAGGTGCAGTCAGAGTGTTCCTTGGAAGCAAAGATGAGGAAGTTTTGTCTTGCATACTATGAGGAGGTTGCTAAGAAAGGCTATTCATTGGAGAGGGACATCATGGTTGAGAAGGTGGAGGAACAATGCAGAGGAAGAACTTCAACCCAGTGGATTGACACAATGATGACAGCAATGGACTTGGAGGTGTCAGATTGTGAGGATGTCAAAGGATAGGACAGGGTTCAGATCTCTTGTTCATAGGGTCGATATGAGTCATATTGACTCAATGGCACCTAATAACAAAAATTTACCAACCATGCTCTTGTCCAGGGCCAGATCACCCCTGATAACATGCCCAAAGTAGGTGAGACAAAATCTTACCATCTTCATTTCTAAGGAGCACTGTGGCTGTACATCTTGCAAGACAGAATATATATACACACACGCGCGCGCGTGTATATATATATGTGTATATATTTGCCCCGCCCCATTCTAAACAGGACCATCTAATGTGATCTTGTCAGATTGGTTGGTAATGATAGCTGAGCACCATCTGGTTCTTCTGGCTTCAGGTTAAAAGACTCGTTAACAGATGACACAACATTGCTTGTGGAAAGTGAAGAAGACTTGAACCACTACAGAAGATCAAAGACTACAATCTTCAATATGGATTACATCTCAACATCATGATACAAAATTCCTCACCATTGGACCAATAGGCAACAGCATGATAAATGGAGAAAAGATTGAAGTTGTCAATTGTTTGTGTTTTGTTTGTTTTTTTTTTACTTGGATCCACAATCAACATCCATGGTAGTACCAGTCAAAAAATCAAAAGACATACTGCTCACCAAGGAAGACATTCAGATGGCCAACAAACACATGAAGAAATGTTCAAAATCCCTAGTTCTGAGAGAGATGCAAATCAAGACAACCATGAGATATCATCTCACTCCAGTAAGACTAGCAAAATTTAACAGAACAGCAAGCAACAAATGCTGGCGAGG